TATGGGCGTGTGTGGGCGCCGAGATGAGAGCTGGCCCCTGCTATACGCAAACTCATTTTTGTTGAAATAGCTGTGAGGTAGTTGGAAGACATGAGGACTCTTTGATGAGGCATATGTGGCACTCTTGCATAACGGCCCCTCGGAATTGCCATCTGTCCCCCTCCCCAGGGGGCAATGCTTAGGGTATTTAGCGGTTGTTCAGGCTTGGGGATGGAATTTCTGTGCATCAATCGTAAGTTGGTGAAAGCTCAGCGTATCTACTCCCGGCGCTCGTATCTTCGGACTAGTGGGGACCAGAGTTTGGTTTTATTGCAGCAAGCCGAAGGGGATTGCCGACTCTCACAAAGATGATAGTGCCCATGGGTGAATTTGGTGTGGACATGACGACCTCCAGAGCAATAGGAGATCTTATGACATAAAGATGGTGCAGTTTGTTGCTTAGATGATTTTTGATAGTTGCCTTGCCTTCTTGTTATTACGAAATGTACGAAGTGTGAAATTTATATGTCATTTACGGCGGTCATTATTCAGTTAGCATGTCAAGGCTAGTCTAATGGAGATCATGTTAACTCGCATTTAATCATTATGATTTTTGTATCGCGGGTGGATGAGAAGGTCGTTGATATTAGATGGTTCTCGGCTCCATGTCTCACTCTAGGTTCGTTTGGCTATGAGACCATTCTGTGTCGAGTGCTTCGAACATCTCGGCACGTTTGCAGAAGTTCGGGGCTCGCGTGATTCTGGTAGTAGAGGTGTACGGTAGCAATGTGTGCAATCTTTTTTGATTGGCAATCTCATGGGATTTGTGTCTGTTAGCGTAACTCCTTGTATTTCTTCTCTCTGCAAGAGGGCTTGATTTTATCGAACGCTCTATCGGGGCCTGTCGTAGAGCTAGATCCATCAACGCAGCGTCGTTAAGATGATAGCTCGTCGTCTTTTTTAATAACTGAAAAGCGCTGGTCATAGCGGAAGTGTTCAGCGGCAAGTTACTGTGGTTGCTAGGTGATACGTACACATTGAGGGGATGAATTGGAATCAAATTTTCTACGCTACTATCGATCGCTCTTGGAGTTAAGGGTATATATTCAGTTTGTTATTTGTCCTTTCCTTGTGACAGCGAATCTGTGTATGATCAATAGACAGATTTGTGGTTGAAATAACCGTTAGGCTTGGAAGCTTGGATTATGTGTGACCACGACAACAACTCGTTTTAAGCTTATCTTCTTGTTTACTTCGCGAAAAGATGGGAACAATGGATCGGTGATTTAGTTAGATATTATTTTGGCTCTTACAGCGAAGGCGAAAGCGGTAGGGTGATGTCGGTCCGATGGGTGTTCTTGATTGCCCGCGTGGTGTGTTTTGTGCGTGGGACAAAAGAGGACGGCATATACTGTATAAGTATGAAGAGTTCCGGCTGAATGAATGGAGAGAAATCTTCGATTCACATATAAATGTATTTCCATGAATATTTCAGAGTGGACTTGAGATGCGTAGAAGTGATACAGTTACGTGATGAAATGAGCCAGGAATAAGCCTTGTGACAGTTCTGTTGGAGGAGAGACAACTCGGGTGTCTTATTGTATGTTGGTTTTGAGCCATGCAGATATGTTCGTCATTCGAAAGGTTTACTTTGAGGGGGGAAGGTGTTAATGACAAAAAACAGCCCGCGGTGTCGCCCCGGGGGGGTGTAGAGGCGATTTGAAATATAGAGGAGGTGGTTCTTCGTGTACTTTTGATATGCTTTTTTGAAGTTATTGTGGTAGGGTCTCTCTACTTGGAGGTAAGCTATTTGGTGGATGAGGCTTTTCTGTCGATAGCCTGTATCAAGTCTTCTCGGCTATAAAATACAGACAGTGGATTAAGCAGCGCAGCGCGCATTCTTATCCTGAATTTCGTCGATGAAAGCGGAGAGCTAATTGAGTGTGGATGTGTATAGGGAAAGTGGTGTTATTACTTGACGTTGAAGTTGCCATCTCCAGGTTGCGAATAAAGAACCTATAGGAGGACAGACTCCGTGGAGGGTTTATAACCGCTTCCATAAAGTCGCGGATGTTCCATTCAAGATTACTTGTGATAGGAGAAGCCTAGCAAGGCTCTCTGGACTCCAGAAGCCTCTAACAAGTTCGAAGTGCAGGCAGATAGTCAATTTATGTCCCGAAACAGCTGAGGAGGCTAAGGTACAAATAGTACTTTGTTTGTTAGATTCCGAAATATTCGATATAATTCCTAGTTAAAGTAGATGAACGAATGTCCTATGTGTGAGGAGACTGTTCTTGCGTGCACGCTGAGTCTAACTCCACACGGCGTTGATGCGTGTTAGCGAATCAGGGCTGATCAGCATAACTTGTAAATATCAACATACACGACCTGCACTAAATAGACAATTGGATCGCTTCACAATTTCCTCAGCGGTTTGCGAGCAGTTGTGTTCAGCATTGAAGCTCTATTCGAAACTATTAGGTCGAATTTTGATTAAGTTTCATGGGAAGCGGAAACCCTTTTGGTTACATCACGAATACTATTCAACGTTATTTTTTGAAGACTGACCTAACCAAGGAGTCCTCTACCGAGGGTTTTCTTCGAGTTGATCGCATGTGAAAAATTTAGTCACTAGAGATATTGGACTGTTATTATACAGCATCATGGCTATCAATCTCAATCCGATACATCTGAAATAATGAATGTCTGCCAAGCCATGCATCAGCTGCTGCCCTATAGTTTTTATTTAGACGATTGGCCGATAAATAGCTGTCTTGAGATACTCTGATTTTGCACTTTTGAAAGATCGCACTGAATCAGAATCCACGAAGTCGACTGCTAACGTGACGATTTACATGTTGCAGGCGGAGACAATCCAAATACAATCGTGCAGTAGGCGTCAGGACGAAAGAACGTGAACTTCAGGGAACTCGGAACGGGGAACGTGCGCAGGAGGCAAATCGCCAAAGCACAGAGGAGGCTCGCCAGTTAGGCCATGCTCATTCAGTTCTACGCGAATTTGAAGCTTTTTTTCTGCTAGATTATTTTAGCCGTCCATTTGTTACTGCATTACTACATTTCATTACTGCATTTGTATGCACGCCATAAGCACGCGTTCTGTGAAATCATCCTGGGCTTTGCTACAGATAACTCGCAATGTGGCCGCGATAACGCCATGCGAAAGATATCCCAAAAGTGCTGGGCTGTAGGCAAATCTTTTCGCTCCAGACAGGAATTGAACTTGCACCTCTCGATTTCCGGGCAGTTGTGCTAACGATTTACGGTCGCAAATTGCATGGAAAGTGAGAGGTGCGGGTTTCATTCCTGCCTGTGGCGAAGAGTTTTGAACATCATCGAGTATTTTTGTGATAGACCACATGTTGCAAATTACCCTATTTTTTGCGAATATTTCCTTGATAGAACTTTCTTGTCTCAATATCAGAGGACATCGGGTAGCTACGTTACATAGTTGGACTAGTTTTAGGAGGAAACATGCTTTTGTGTCATCCCTAGTTCATCCCTCTCTTGGGCGCTTGGGCACGAGATCCTACAGTGTCACCTATTGGCAGATTTGATGCCTTTTTTTGAATGTCCGCCAAGAAAGACATGAGCGCCATTCTTTCTTATCACCTGTATGCATGTAATGTATTCAATTCTCATGTTTTGGATTGTGCCTCTAAAACGATAACTGTTTTTCTATGTTGGTCAGTCAGGAGAGATGAGAATTTCGAGAATGACATGCCGGTACCCCACGGACGGTCTCGGCGAATCTTGAGTGCTCCTGCAACATTGGCGACAGCGAATGAAAGGATCCCGACGGTACTCCTTTCTGACCACAGTTCATTACACTTATATTAGAATCAGACGGGAGCGCAAAAAGAAGTCACTCGTGCGTGACGGGCCAAAAGCAAAACAATTAGCAAATGTTCTTACGCCTGAAAACTGCAAAAATATTGCTGAATGGTTTCTCGATAAAGTAGAGGCAAACCCTGCCCGATCTCATCGTATCAATGACGACAGGCGCCATCCTAATTCTCAATAGATTGCTTGGTTGTAGGTCATGCAGCGTTCAATGCGTACGCTCAATGACGGAATCGCTCAGAAATCTGATGAATCCACATGAGGGAATCAAAAAGTGGTGAATGATTGCAAAGAGACAGCGATAGTCAGCGGAGACTTTAGTTGGCGGTGCTTTCCGCTTCAATTACTGTTCATCTAACCACGATATGTTTTATCGTGAAGATCGCACAGTCGAGCGTTCTGCTTGCAATGTTAGGTTCGACTGGGATGAGCTGGCATGATTCGTGGAGCAGGAGCCGGTGCAGCTCCATCCGGTCCTCCTCCAAAAGCTCCTGAACCTGACCTCGATTGAACAAAGTAATGTTCTCAGTATGTTATCTTTATCTGTGTTCAAATTGTATTCTCGGTTTAGTATTGCAACCGGTTACTTTTCAAATGTGTTTGTGTAATTACTCGATGTGAGAGTTACTAATTGCTTTGTTGTGTAGCGTGTATGCGTTGTTTCCTTAATAAAGCTTTTTAAATCTATCGGAAAAACAAAGCTATGGAAGGGATGGAGGCGGGGGCGTGGCTTACACACGATGCGGTCGCAGTTTTATAGAGCCATAATAGGTGAAGCTGTGTTTACCATTTGTCCTCCTGTCCAGAATAGCACTAGCACACGTGGCAAAGGCCTCGAAAAAATCAATACCATGTGTGGTTTTTGATCCTGTTCTTAATTTGGTGACGCCTTGGTGTTAGGTCTGTATTGCAGACTCAACTGGGTACGGGAGGCAAAGTGTACCTGCGGGGTGATTTCGGAGAAACGACCCGTTTGTAGGGAGCACTGCAGTACGGGGATTGGAATAGGGTTATCGTTATCAGCTGCGGTGGTTTTACTATCACTTCTTGAGAATGTGGTAGGTCTCAGTTTCATCTACTCGCCTACTCGTCACGTCGGCCGATGTGAGTTGTTGTTTCATTGCTAGGAATGGCAGTGTAACAAGGAGCCTCGTTGCAGGAGAAGATCCGCTGCACCATGGCAAAGTGAGGCGCGGCCATTTCGAGACGTGGAGAAGATATCGCGCAAGAGAGAGTTTCACTTTGAGGTGAGTTTTTGCAGTTCTTCCCTTTCAAAAGTAGGTTGGGGGCACTTTGGGATTGGGGGCGGGGGTTCAAAGGTAGGGTTACTCGCACCGGTCAGGCTTGACCAGCGCAGTTATGGCGAGATGGTGAAATGGTGATCGTGTCATCAGGCGAAAATATATCAAGGTGCTATCGCAAGACACGGGGACATCCTCTACGGCTAAACCCAGTCGTGGGCCAGACGAGGGCAAATGAAAACTGCTTATGGAGCGTTCAGAGTCGGCGATTGTACATGCGATGAGGCCATGATTCAAGAAGAAAAGTATATGCATTGATTAAGCGAGTAGGCGAGTGGGCGATGAGAAAAGGAAACGTTTCGATTTGTTGCTGCGCCATCATTGCCGCTGTTTGATTAAGCGAGTAGGCGAGTGGGCGATGAGAAAAGGAAATGTTTCGATTTGTTGGTGCGCCCATTGAGCTGTCGCATAGTCGCCCAATCGCCTAATCGTCTGATCTATACGTATATTTTTCACTATAAACAAATCGATTAACGCCTTAATCGCCCAATTCGCACGTCGATCGTCAACTGCTGAACGTCACATCAGCACACGATTCAGGTTTGGATCGTACATGCGATTTAGGCCGAACTAGGCGATGATCTAAAAGGAGATGTGCGTATTCGTATTGGGCCGATTTTAGGACGATGTATGCAATTGGCGATAAAGAAGGATACGTCAATTCGATTTTGGCTTGCTCCGGCCCATTGAGGTGATCGCCTGATTCGCCTAATTGTCTGAATAAGATAGGTAAACTCCCTCATAGACAGACTAATCGTTGTTATTTTAATGGCTTTAGCTCTAAATGCATTATACGACCACCCAACTGCTGAATGCAGCCTTGCGCATCCTGAGGCCTCTCCTACCCCGGTAGTCCGAGACTTTGTCTCGGTTTTGACAAAAAAAGTGTGATGTTTAACGCGGTTTTGACCGCATTACCATCACTTTACCCTCGTATCTTGCGATAGCGGGCAGGTGAGTTTCGGCGCTGATATTATAGGGGAAGTCATAGCGACGCAGTAGTTCATCCTAGCGACAGCTCCATTCTTTTCGCAATGTAAAGAAGATCGAGATGTTCGGACCCTTTTGCCTTGAAAAGAAGAGGATTTTGCCTATATTTGCTATGGACATTTCTGTTGATCAAGAGCCCACAACCTCTCTCGCCTCCTTGGTCACCTAGCGCTGGAGTCTTTAGAATGCGTAATCGATATTAATGCGAGACGAGGCCGCCAGGGGGGTTTTTCGTAGGACTCATCAAAATTCAAAGCGCAGGAGTTTTGAGACTAATCAAAATCAAGCGGCCGAGCTCGGTCGATGGTGTTTCATATACGTATTGATTGATTTGTTGCAATCAGCTGTACGGAAACCACTGGAGGCGCCCATGTCCTTGGGAAGAGGGACGTTCAAAACAGGGCCGATGGTAGTAAAAACTCAGGGCTAATCACGGCATAGCCGAGAAACGTCAGGAAAACTCTCGAAGTTTGATCACCATGTCTCCAGGTCCGCTTCCCCTCCCTTAGAGTCCCAAGCCCAAACAGTAACTGGCCTCACTCGCCGGTGGGATGGCCTCCACCCCCTTGTGCGACAATGAGCGGCCCATTAGGAAAAGGGATTCGAAGGAGTCAGTAAAATCACGTTCATAGTTCGCGACTTCGGAGATGAGAATAGTATGCGACAATGAAATGGATACGTCATTGCTTGGGAGATTAGGATAGTAAGAGACTCGCATAGTAGTAGATTAGGATAAACAGCTAACAAGATTGGATATGTATTGATCGATTCGCTGAAGACGCTAATCAGCCTTTCTAGCGATTCCAACATCGCGCAATACCTGCTCAATGCCGATATTTCCAGAAAAATGATGCAATTTCGTGTTTTGGTAAACGAAGCAAGAAAAAACGAAAAAATCTGAACAAGTGTTTCCGCTCTTCAAACTGCCGCTCCATATTGTCGAAAAGGTCGTTGCTCAGATGTCATTGGCCGACATGCTCACCTTAAGGCTTTGTTCAAAAAAGACAAAAACAGTAGGTTCTTTTTGATTTCATCTTCAATTTATTGATTTAGCATTCGAGGGCATAGCCCACAATGAGTTCAGGCGAATCAGTCTCTTTCGTGACAGAATGAGTAACCTGTTGGTCACAGGTGTTCTTAACAAGGGAGGTCTTTCAGGGCAAGGTGCGCTTTTTGGAAACGGTTTAGTACATGTTGTAGGGACGCATGTATGGACCACAAAACCATGTTTCGTTTTCGGTTTTAGTAGTACCAAAAAAGTGGTGAATAATACTCTTGATGGTTCAATCCCCCGCGGCGACTAAATTTTGCATCAAGGTTGGCGGCCACTTGTTGGCTTCAAAATGGTCCTGACGATGAATTTGACATCTGATTTTGATATTTAGCGCGATTTGGCACCAAACCGTAGGCGCAACCCAAATGCAAAATTTAGTCGCCACGGGGGATCGAACCCTTAACAGTACCTTTATTCTTTTTTGGTACTGCTATAACCGTTCAGCGAAAATGAAACATGGTTTTGCGTTCCCTACATGCGTCCCTACAATATGCACAAAACCGTTTGAAAAAGCGCACCTTGCCCTGAAAGACCCCCCCCTTGTAAGGGAAACGCTTTGCCTTTTCCACTTTTGTTACCGATTTGCAATCTGCGCGGCATCTGGTGCACCCTCATTCTCAGTGCTCTTACCTACCCTCTCCCCTCTGCGCTGCGGCTCATTGTCTCAGCACAGCTGATCACCAAAACAGTGTAACCTTTTAATTTTAGCGTTTCAACGGAATTTTCTTTTTTCTCCGCCGGCACTTCTCTTCCCTTTCATGCTTTCATTTTTGCTACACGAAGCACACCATTTTGATTCCGGAGTGTACCTTGAGCGCACCCTACTCACAGAAATGCTCGATTTTGCTCCCGTGAAAGCGGCACCTGTTCTCCGCATACGTGCATAGGTCAGCGGTTTGAAGTGTGGGACGGAAAAAGTTATTCAAAGGATGTATGTCTGAACTAAGATGCTGACAAGCAACTAAAATTTGAAAGTGGAATTTCATCCTAGCGGATTACGCAGTGATCTTGCCAAGGCTTCTCGATAATCGTTTTCGGCATTCGTTCTAGCTTTTCCTGCATAAAGACGACAGAACATGCCCTTCTGCAGGTGCATGCAGAGCTAACATTACAAGCAAGTGGTGCGATAAAATTAATGTCAAAGAAAGGAAATCTACCTACTGTTAAAGGAGGCTAGATCCCAGGCGAACAAGACGTAGCCTTTCGGTGAAGAGCACGGCTGAGGGACCCAGCCAAGTATCGTTCGCTGACGGCCCGCCCTTCGTTAGCAGTTCCGCCTCTAAGGGACGGTCCATGAGTGGCTTGATGGTTAAGGGTTTATAGTAACGACAGGGGAGAAAAATAGCGAGTTAAAGGAATCTTCCACGGACCATGGACCAGTGGGCGGGACCGGAAGTTTTTGTGACGAAATGCATGGTAGGTACGGATCCACGTGTCGAACGCACGAACGTGAACAGGATTCACTTCAAACCTTCCCATGAACGTGGATCCGTACCTACCATGCATTTCGTCGCAAAACCACTTCCGGTCCCGCCCACTGGTCCATGGTCCGTGGAAGATTCCTTTAAGGGAGCACATAAGGGTTTCTGGAGTCGATTTTCGTATGAGATTTCTTCGTCGTGCGGGGTGATGCAACAGGCTAAAAGTCCCTTGTTAAAGCGTCCAACTTGGTTTCTTCTTCGCCATTGCACTTCGTGCCATTTCTACTTTCATTTCCAAAGACGATCAATAATTGTACCATCTGCCTTTGAAATGAGTGTGAAAGGGCGTCACACATCACGGTACACAATATTGAAAACTGGAACCACGGTTTTTCTGAAACTCGGCGTCAACTGTGATGGAATGATATTTATTTTGAGCTGAGCCATGAAGTCAAGGTTAACCAGAGTCAATATGACTACCACCTCCCTACATCCTCCGTGAAATGTTACGTAAGTGCAAGGGTTAGGGAGGTTGTCCTCTCCTGGCAAGATCAAGTGATTGGAACACATCCTGTTCCTAGCGATAACCTATCAAATCTGAATAGTCACTGTGTCATCGAAGTAGGTTCCAGATAAGCTTGAAGTAGCCTTTGATTCATAGCCTGATGATAAAGCGGACAACTGTCACAATTTCAGATTGTGGATAGCTACTGGCAACATAGGCGATCGTTTACCACCAGTGTCAAAGAGTTTCATCGCTTGTTTCCCTATATTAATCCCGAACAAACGCAGTTCGAAAGCTTGTTTCATATCAGGGATGAGGTCGGTCTTTGTGGATTCGTTCCTTTTGACATTTTGTGTACACGTGGGGAAAGGAAGGGGTAGACATTCTGGCGCAACGCGTTCAAAAGCACAGAGCATTTCTTCATCAACGCTCAGTTTTAGTATTAAGCCATAGGGAGGGGGAGAGACTCAGAAGGGGGTAAGATATTTTCAATTCCTCTAGAGTTTCTCTTTCTACCAGGTCTGGTCTTAGGGAGGCGCCGGAATGTCTCCTCACATGTACATGGGCGCCGGGCTTTTTTAGGTGCTACACTGATTAGCCCACACTTAGCTTTTCAGGTCGGAAAAGTCCTTCGAATGCTTCCGAAAAATCGCTTGGTCGAGGCAGACTTCAGTGGTATACGTCGGTTTCAGCGAGAACTTATGGAAGAAATCATGATAGTATGTTACTGAATTCCCACAAAATCCTTGTCTATCGTACAAACGACTACTATGACATATATCTCAACCGATGGGGGGGGGGGGGGGGGGGTGGGGGGGGGCGGGGGGGGGTGTAGTTCTGTGAAAAATCACCAGGTCGAATCTCAGATAGTTCCTATCTTTCTCGCACGTAATTGTCCATGGACAGATCTTTCAAGCAGCACTCACAACTTTAGTTATGATGCATCGAACGATGTAAAAATATACAAATTCATTGCGAGTGGGCCTAACTTCAAAACGGAGCTCATTCATGAACGGGCATAATGTTGTAAATCAACCTCATAGGCGGAGTTTCCGCCATGGTGGGAGGAGCTTGCCGTGATTGTCTCAAATCGATACGAGGAGATTGAAGTAGTAGCTGGGGAAAGCTGTGCTCGGTTTTGATTAGACGGGTGTATCCATCATAACAGGAACAGCATGATTTCCAGTTTGCAGAAATCTCACAAACGGTTGCTTAGCAGTTTGTGTTTCGACACATTCATCCCACACTGGCGCAATTCCAGAATCATAGTGGGGCGTACTGAGCGATTTTACATTTTCGACCGTTTTTTCCAGAGAAATCGCCTTGATGCATGTTCGCTGTTTGCCGGTGTGATTACGATGTCGTTCGATGGTTGTATAGTTAGCTGTGATGATCTTGAATCGTTGTCGTATTGTATGCAAAATCTGAAATCGCTAACTCTTCCGGATCGTCTAATAGATCATCGAATTAACGGGTATTGATTAGTTTTCTGTTTCTGTTTTTGATCGATAAAACCAATCAATGAGTGGGTGTGTTTCAGAGAAGATGTTGATGCAAAGAAAATACAAAATTTTCGTACGTACAAAACAAACGGCCTAATTCGGACATCGTGGCCGAACCATTGCGCACATGAAAACGCTGTGGCCATCACTGGTTCAACTAACATTCGTCTAGTCATGTTCAATGCTCACTGCCATCTGTGCCCATTCTATTGATCTCCTATATTGATTCTATTGATTTATTGATCGATTTTGATAAACTTTTCTCAGCCTTCAGTGGTGCCTGACGATGTCGAGACACTCGCGAAAATGATCGATTGCTCATTTTTGCTCGATATTTTCAGCACTTTCTGGTGATGGGCCTATAGGAATTAGTGGAATGTGTTTTGAAAAAAATGGGGTTTGCGGCTGCATCGTCCATTTCTTGTCTCCGTGGGTACCCCCAGGAGGCCCGTCGCGCGGCAAGAAGGCAGAGTCGGCGGACGAGTTGCAGCGCGTGGTGTGCGATGTAGGACGTGCAGTGGGACACTCTATTCAACTTGACGCGAAATCCCTAGTACGCGCGCGACTCGTCCGCTGACTTTGCCTTCTTGCCGCGCGACGGGCCTCCTGGGGGGTACCCGCCTCAGGGTCAGCGTGAAGGACTCCGCCACTCTTCTAGAATGGCTGAGAACAAGGCCGTTTATATGTGATGACATTTATCACTTTGGTACCCTTAGTATGAGATTTTAGCCTTTATTTTCCCAGTTGTTCCTGAAGTCACGTCTACGTCGTTTTTCAGAATGCAACTGACACCTTCATTTTGACAGCCTGGTAGACGGAAACTGCAACAGACGAGAACTCAGCGTTCAAGAAAGATCTCTGCGGTCGATGTCGATTGTTCAGGTCGGGCCTTACTCTATGCATACAGCTTCTGTCTCAAGACATGAAACAGGGTCAACGGTCCGAGGTCGGAGGGAAATCGTATTTAGGGTTGCGTATGGTTATTCATGTCTTGGTAGGGTGCGAACTGGTGGTTGTATTTCGTGAAAGTTCAGTCGCGTCGTGGTTGCGGCCAAGGAGCCGTTTTTTTTGTTTATGACGGGTTGGGATAAATTGGGCAAAATTTTAGAATGAGGCGTGATGTGATATATAAGAGTATTGTCGGCTCCACTTCACAGACAATTTTCCATTTACCCCCCCCACTCCCCGAAAGTGCGTATCGACCTTTGATGGGGGCGGTGGTGAAATATTTTTGGAAAATTACGAACCGACGCGTTGGATCCTATGTGAAGCAAATGAGCAGCTGCACCGGTTGTCTTCGTAGTCAGTCGGTCACCTTTCTTGTTAGTTACCGATGAAAAAGGATGAGTAGAGCCTCGGGGAGGTTCAGTGGAAAAGGATTGGGTAAAGCTCTAGGTGTCATTAGAAACCAACCAACCCCCAAAGACTCAAAATCTCCCGTTTGGCAGGAATTTCTGCGGAGGAGCACCTTGGATAGGATGCTGTAGATAGTATGTGCAATTCATCAGCTCGTTGGTCAAGTCAAGTCGTAGGGGAACTTCTAAAATTGCGAAAACCTGGCAGTGGTTGAAGGTTTTGAGCTTAAGCACATTCTGGATTGAAAAGTTAGATCTTTTGCAGTAACTAGTATTGTGAGATATTGAAGAGGTGGGTAAGCAGTGCGAGGTTGACCAGAACTATTCGCTTCTGTCCTGAGCTGCATCCATGGCACCTTTTAGACTTGATATAGGTGAGCCTTGTTATTCTTATAGAAAAAATAGTTTGACAATTCACTCCGAAGTCGAACACCCGTATTCGATAGCTGTTGCAAGTTGGATACGTGGCGCACCCCGAAAAACTTTACCACAAAAAAGCTCCAATTTTCCAGCTGTTCAGTTCACGAGATAGGTATAGCGTGTTTTTTGTAGGAAATTAGTGGGTCGGGTCTAATCGTAAATTCGATCGATGCATGGGTAAAGGAGTGTTCCAAAAATAACATTGAAATCGATGAATCGTGGTAGGTGGTTGCCATGGTCTGGTGGCCCCTTTTATCGACCCGATACACTACTGACCCACCTGATACCTAGCTCCACTAGAGATGTCCTTACTAGTGGTAAAGAACACGTCAGCTTCAGAGTTCTAGCATAGATCCATCCGTCTGCTATGGAGGTTATGCTTAAATAACCTACTCGCACTCCCTGAACCTCTTTTAGTAAGTTACTGAGCCGGGTTGTCCATCCTAGCAGCGCCGCCGAGATCAGCGATGGTGATCGAACTCTACGGGCGGGAAACAGTGAAATAGGGCTGGCTGAACGGGGTAGGGTGGTGTGTCGGTTGACTAGCCGGCTGGAAACTTGACATGTCTCACCATCTTCCTCTTTTTTCATCGATCTTAATTTCCGATTTCTGGTGTGGCCTATTTTTTAATTGTGTCCTGTTTACCTTTTACGTCACACCCAAATTTGTCGTCTCTAATTCATTAAAGGAAATTGGCTTTGTGAAGTCTGCCCAAAAGGAGCTGAACCCTCAACCACTCATCATCATTGTCAAAGTTGTCACTTTGGCGCTATAGCAAACTGGGGTGAG